CGATGCCAGGAGCCCCTATAGTAGCGTCCTTGTTACTAGTAGTAAGGACAGGAGCCCCTAGTAGCGTCCTTGTTAAGCGTCCTTGTTGCTAGTAGTAAGGCCAGGAGCCCTAGTAGCGTCCTTGTTACTAGTAGTATGGCCAGGAGCCCCTAGTAGCGTGTTTGTTAGTAGTAGTAAGGCAAGGGGCGCTACTTGTGGCCTTACTACTAGAAACAAAGACGCTACTGGGGGCTCCTGTCCCTACTACTAGTAACAAGGACGCTACTAGGGGCTCCTGGCCTGACTACAAGGAACAAGGATGCTACTCCCCTGGCCATACTGCTAGTAACAAGGACGCTACTAGGGGGGAGACCATCGTTCTTAGGTTGGAGGCCATCGCTCTTAGGGTGGAGGCAGTTGCCATTGCTATTAGGTTGGAGGCCATCGCTCATAAGTTGGAGGCCATTGCTATTACTGTAGGTTGGTTGGAGCCCATCGGTCTTAAGCTCAAGGCCATCGCTCGCCATCGCTATTAGGGGGCCATCGCTATCAGGTTTGGAGGTCTAGCTTTGTCTCTGCAAGGTATCCTGGTTTTGGACTGGCAGTTAGAATATGTTGGAGGCCATCGCTCTTAGGTTGGAGGCCATTGCGCTTAGGCTGGAGGCCATTGCATTGCTGTTAGGTTGGAGGCCATCGCTCTTAAGTTGGAGACCATCGTTCTTAGGTTGGAAGGCCATCGCTCATAAGTTGGAGGCCATTGCCATTATAAGGCGAAAAGCCCCTAGTAGCGTCCTTGTTACTAGTAGTAAGGACAGGAGCCCCTAGTAGCGTCCTTGTTACTAGTAGTAAGGGCAGGAGCCCCTAGTAGCGTCCTTGTTATTAGTAGTAAGGTCAGGAGGCCCTAGTAGCGTCCTTGTTACTGGTAGTAAGGCCAGGAGCCCCTAGTAGCATCCTTGTTCCTAGTACTAAGGCCAGGAGCGCCTAGTAGCGTCCTTGTTACTAGTAGTAAGGCGAGGCTAGTAGCGTCATTGTTTCTAGTAGCAAGGCCAGGAGGCCCTACTTACTAGCGTCCTTGTTACTTGTAGTAAGGCCAGGAGCCCCTGGTAGCGTCCTTGTTACTAGTAGTAAGGCGAGTAGCGTCCTTGTTACTAGTAGTAAGGCCAGGAGCCCCTATTAGCGAGTAGTAAGTAGTGTCCTTGTTGCTTGTAGTAAGGCTAGGAGCCCTAGTAGCGTCCTTGTTACTAGCATGGCCAGGGGAGTAGCGTCCTTGTTACTAGCAGTAAGGCCAGGAGCCCCTAGTAGCGTCCTTGTTACTACCTTGTTACTAGTGGTAAGGCCAGGAGCCCCTAGTAGCGTCCTTGTTACTACCTTGTTACTAGTAGTAAGGCTAGGAGCTCCTAGTAGCGTCCTTGCTCCTAGTCGTAAGGCCAGGACCCCTAGTAGCGTCAGTAGGAAGGGCAGGGGCCTCTAGTAGCGTCCTTGTTAGTAGTAGTAAGGCCAGGGGCGCCTAGTAGCGTCCTTCCAAGAGCCCCTAGTAGCGTCCTTGTTCCTAGTTCACAGGTTCACTGGTTAGCAATCGCTGGAGGTCACACTTTGGTTGACTGAGAGCAGAGACCATCCCAGTGACTTCGAATCCAGCGACCTTGGCGCATTGCATGTTGCCGTTTCGAACGTGAATGCGGTGTTTGGCGGTTGAAGGCCGCAACAGAATTTCCGATTCGACATTTTTTACGGAATATACAATTTTTTGTTTTTTAAACCAAACATTTATCTTTTAAACAACATTTTTTGTTTGTTCCTGAGGCGTTTTCGCCGCAGCAAGCTGAGAGGGAAAGACAGATTCTGCGTGAGCGCGTAAAGCAGCGCTGTGAAGCTGAGGGAAATGGTTTCAGTGGAGCTCTTAGAGAAGAAATGTCAAACACGAATCATTGCCTGAACATCTAGACAACTGCCTTGGCGATGCTGCAGTGGAGTCAGAGTGGAGTCTTCTTCGTGAGGTGAAAGGACTGCAGAAGGAGAGAGAACGCGCACTGAAAGTACGAGTAGGAACATCAACAAAAATGGCCTCAACTCGGACAGAATTTGGGTGTTCCAAGTGAAAGATGACGGGTTGTTCATAATCTTGCGGTCAGACTCTTCTCTCCTGGGTACCTTTTGAAGGAATCCCTCATATACCCAAGCGGAAGACAAGACGAGAGCAGAGTCTCCTTTCGAAGGATCTGTGGAAGCTGAGACTGTTGGAGCACAGGCGGCAAGAGAAACGTTGCGAATCCGAGTCCTGCGATTTCTTTCCGCCGCAGGCAGAGCAAGTTGGCACAGCGGACGCAGATGACGCGGATGACGCGGATGCGGACGGTTCGAAAGCGGCGAAGATCGCCGCTTCAAGTGCGCCGGTCGAACGAGGTGCCGCAACGACATGCTGCCAGTCTCGATTTCGAGTTGAGAAATGTCCGCCAGGGCCACGCTTTGCAGAGACCTCAGGGTCCAGGGTCCAGGGTCCGGCAGGGTCGTTGGTTTTTTGCTGCCTCAGGCCTGTGTTGCCATGGAGGAGCGAACAAGCGCAATACGCAATGTGTTTTTGACAACCGCATATGCAAGACAAGACCAATCCCAAGGAAACAAGTCAAAGATACAATATAACTACAAAAGGAGAAGAAAAGTAAGCCAAAATCTAACAAACATCTTAAAGTAAGGGACAGATAATAGCAGTGACAACGAAGAAATCCTTACAATTAATCGCGCAGAATAAGACCAAACGGATATTATGAGTAATATGGACAAATTTCATTTTGTGTGTGTTTTCTCTTATTCCCCAAGCAGTGTGGGCACACTGAGGGGTTCTTACGGTGAGTGAAAAGCAGCTGACGCTTAGATCGCTGAAGCGCGCCGGCGTGAACGGCTAATTCGTTGCTATTTACAGTACATTCATGCCTCGACATCATCAATGTGCATTTCGACTGCGCAGGCTCGCAGAATCTGGGTGGGTGCTTATAGCGACTGCGCTCTCGTTGTAGTGCCGTGCGCATTTTGGTACATGGTGGTCACTTTTCGTGGCAGGCGCGAGGGAAACCTTGTGTTTTGGTGCTCCAAAGTCGACTTTTCGTGACAGGTGCAAGGGATCGGAGCTGTTAAATCGAAATGCAGTTTTCGTGGCAGGTGCAGCACTTTGTACATGGTGGTGATCGTCAAGCAACTCAGATTTCGTGACAGGTGCAGTGAATCGTGACTTTTGGATTTTGTGGCAGGCACAGCGCTCTCCCTTTGTGCAGATTTCGTGGCAGGCACAGCGCTCTGTGACCCTCGATGGGCAGATTTCGTGGCAGGCGTATAGCACTTTGTGAACCTCGAAGTGCAGATTTCGTGGCGGGCGCAGCACTTTGTGAACCTCGAAGTGCAGATTTCGTGGCGGGCACAGCACTTTGTGAACCTCGAAGTGCAGATTTCGTGGCAGGCGCAGCACTTGGTGAACCTCGATGTGCAGATTTCGTGGCAGGCACGGCGCTTTGTGAACCTCGAAGTGCAGATTTTGTGGCAGGTGCAGCACTTGGTGAACCTTGATGTGCAGATTTCGTGGCAGGCATGGCACTTTGTGAACCTCGAAGTGCAGATTTCGTGGCAGGCGCAGCACTTGGTGAACCTCGATGTGCAGATTTCGTGGCAGGCACAGCCCTTGGTGAACCTCGAAGTGCAGATTTCGTGGCGGGCACAGCACTTGGTGAACCTCGATGTGCAGATTTCGTGGCAGGCACGGCACTTTGTGAACCTCGAAGTGCAGATTTCGTGGCGGGCACAGCACTTTGTGAACCTCGAAGTGCAGATTTCGTGGCAGGCGCAGCACTTGGTGAACCTCGATGTGCAGATTTCGTGGCAGGCACGGCGCTTTGTGAACCTCGAAGTGCAGATTTCGTGGCAGGTACAGCACTTGGTGAACCTCGAAGTGTAGATTTCGTGGCAGGCACAGCACTTGGTGAACCTCGATGTGCAGATTTCGTAGCAGGCGCACCCTCGATGTGCAGATTTCGTAGCAGGCACAGCACGTGGTGAACCTCAAAGGGCAGATTTCGTGGCAGGCACAGCGCTTGGTGAACCTCGAAGTGCACATGGCAGGCGCAGGACTTTGTGAACTTCAAAGTGCAGATTTCGTAGCAGGCGCAGCACTTTGTGCTCTCAGAGGCTCATTCTCTCACTCTCGCACTCTCACCTCTCACCCTCACTCTCGCTCACTCGCACACGCTCACACTCACACTCACACTCACACTCAAATTCACGTTCACACTCACTCTCACTCACACTCGCACTCGCACTCACACTCACTCTCACTCACACTCACTCTCATTCTCACTCTCACTCACTCTCCCACTCTCATTCTCACTCTCCCTCTCACTCTCACGCGCACTCACACACTCACTCACCACCACCGCCACCGTCACCACAATCCCCACCCTCATCGCCACCATCACCTCTCTGGACCCCAATGCGTCTAGATCTCTAGACTTTCTGCTTGTAGACCTCACACACTGTTTGGGGTGTCTTGCCGGGTAAGTGTGTGTGTGTAACCCTTGGAATCACACAAGTCCTGTCGGATTGTAAATGGGTTTTTACTTTAACTTGCAGGGGGCCGGAGCCAGGTGGGCGTTCTCCGGCCAACGAAGACACCCCCCACCTGCGCGTAAACGTACCTGCGTGTGTGACAACACTCCACTCTTCCACCGCTGTGGTCTGTTTCCATGGTGTTTGCATGATATTCCCCTAAACCTGCTTAAATTTAGGTTTTCTTGTATTTTCTTGTGTACTGCAGACCTGCACGCTACATCGTCATTTGTCGCCTCGGGATCGGCTTGAGCTTTTGGCCCCTCTTCCGTTTGAGGACCTCCAGGCTTTTTTGGTTTTCACTTGATCTGGTCAGGATTTGGGTACCCAGGTTGGCGTGTGGCAAACCGCATCAAATCAATATGCAATTTTCAAAAGTGTGTGCGCTCTTCTGTGCCATATCCAGCCTAATGATTTAGAAGCAAGAAAAAAAGCGCCCCGCCCCCCCACCTTTGACTGAAGGCCTATCATGTCGGCCCGCCTTATGCCTCCCAACGCTTCCCCTGCGCTCTCGCGTTCATCCCCGCTGACTAATTCATATCTCCTTGCGGAGGCTGACTTTCGCCCCCGCCCTTCTCAGGTAGTTTCTCATTAATATTTGGCCATATTGTTTCTATTTGTTTTCTGGTTGTTATCCCTGTCCATAAATGAGAAGGACAGATACGAAAGGGACACGAAGATATTATTCTTACCGGCGGACAGCTTCATTGCAAGTCGTTTTTGTTTTACAAAAACATAGACAAAGGTAACCATAAAACAGAGTCACGATTAATATTATATATATATATTTACAAAATATTCCGACAACAATCAAAGATCAATACAAACAACCCTAGATGCATCTTTTTCCATTATGCTAGGGAGGAAATCTGTGGTGAAAAGAATCCGTGATAGAATCTCATGAATCCTGCGCCCACAAAAATAGACTGAATATGATGGTTTATTTGGGTGGTTCTTCTCTATGAAATCTGGTGGGATGGCTCGCGTGACCCGCTCCTATGGCCCAACCAGCTTCCTGTGCCCGGTCATGTGCCTCCCTGGCTGATGGCGTGTGCAGTTCCTGTGCGGACCTGTCCAGGATTAACCGCCAGAACCTCCGGCCCCCAGATAAAAAGTAGCTACCCCACATCCTCTTCTGCTGTTTTGAGAACGTGTCCGGCACGAATATCTCGGCCAGAGATGCAGTGAGCGCCATGTTGGGTGTTGAGCCGTGCAAAGTTGATCCCAGCTCCCGAGTTCCTAACAGCAGGCCAGGGTTCTGTTGGACTTACATGGAAGCGCAGAAATTTGGATACAAGAAGACCTTTGTCAGCGCGCCGGCCTTTGTGTTTTCCCTCCCGCTGGATGGGGAACCAAAGATTGCTGGAGTGATGACTTCAGTTCGGCAATGGAAATCAGAGCCTTGCGTTTGACTCTCCAGCAGCAGACCAGTCGGTGTTTTCTTGCTGTGTCACTCTTGCAATAACCCCCGGTTCCAGGCTGGCCAGTGTCCAGGTCCTGGAAAGCCGCTTCTGTAGAAAGCTTGCCACATGGCTGACAAGGTGGGTCAGGAAGCGTTGAGTGGGTCTGTTTGGTCCCGATCCGCAGAGATCGACAGAAAAATTCCGAACGCGCCTAAAGCCTTCAGGTGGGCAGAAAAAGGAGTGAGACGGCAAATCTGCCGGTGCGATGGCTTGTGTCCCCGACTCCAGTGGGATCAACCAGCTTCCGAGTTGGGCTGCTGGGCTCCCTGAGGTTCGTTTCAGCTGACTCCTCCTGCGTGAAACGAAAGCAGCTTGCCGTATAGAAAGCAAGTTGCCATGTAGCTGCTAAGGTCAGTTAGAAATTCAGAATGCTGCTTGCCAATATAGTAGCTGCCAAGTTCAGCGGGACCGTTTGAAAGTCAAGTTGGCCTTTTTGACGCACGGTGACCTAAGTGGCCCGTCAAGCAGATCCACGATGATCAAAAGAAACGCAGGGATCAATATTCTTTAAAAATGTGTGAATGGCTTACCTCGCCATCTATCAAGGGGAATCGATAAAAAACAAAGAAGTTATCATCCATTCGTTCGTCGCGATCACATCTTCATCAAACTACTACCACAAGCGTTATTTTTAAGCGCCCTTTTCCCTTGAATGAGTTTGATGGGCAAGAAATCCCAGAAGGACAAAGCACACAAATGAAGAGTTGCATCCAACCGCAGGTGGGGTGCTCTTATTTTACGATGTAATGTTTGTGTGTGACCCTTTCGTCTTTAGGGTAGGGTGGGCGGGCATTTGGGCGTGTCATGCTGTGAGTATGACACGTATCAGACTGTATGTCAAGTACATCATAGATGGCTTGCTTGAATTTACCCCGTTCAAACAAATCATTCAAGTAAAATAGAATCAATATAAGACAATATTGAAGATAAAGGAACGTAATATTTTTCGATTAGGTTTCATGTCTGTACAGTCGGCACCTTTTGGGCGCCGTCGGTTTGTTTTTCCTTTTCAATCCTTGAACTTACAATCTTCCAAGACAAAAATAGAAGATAGCGCCGGACAGCAACTGTATAGTGTATGGTTTTTTGGACCATCATCTACCTTTGTCATATTCAAGGTTGTCAGCGGAAGACGGATGTTGCAAGGTTGCAAGTCCTTCGATGTTCCGTTTCGTCGATCGCTGTGCAAATTGAGATGGATTGGTCCAGGTTGACAGGCATGAAAGGCCATCTCCACTTGGTGAGTTCGAAGGAAAAGAAGAAACAAATCGCAAAAAGGTCCACAAAGATCTTAACGGGACAGGAAGAGAGAAAAACACAGGATGGGAAAAGGTCAGATGTCCAATCCGTTTTTTGAGTTTTGTCCGGAGGACGAAGAGCCTCAGATCTTGACCAGCTGGGCTGCCATCGCCTCAACTGCTCAAGCGCGTTTCATTTTGAATTCCTAGGAAACTGTCAGCAAGGGTCATGTCAAACCCCTTCATGGACTCAAGTGAACAGACCCGCTTCCATCGTTGCGCGAGCTGTACCAGCTCGAAGCCGTGGGGTGTAGAAGCGCATCGGCTTTGGCCTTGCTGTGCGCGCACGCGGGGGAAACGTAGACCGAGCCCTCAGCTTCGGAGGTCAACTTCGTGACCGCAACTGCGTGCTGATTGCATTCCACTGTCATCGTCATGGTGCTCGCACGAGCATGGTGCTGTCACGTGGAGTTGTCCTTGTCGTAGAGTTGTGCTCACGGACGCTGGCAGCATTTAACATTGTGTCCGTGTGACCATGGACAGTGACCCTGCCTGTTTTGCCAGTGAAGCTGAGTCGTCATTTTCTTCGCGGGCAACGTCGTAGTTTGAACTCGGGTCAACATCGTGCGTCCACGGGACCGTGGACTGTGACCGTGCCCGTGTGCCTGTGAAGCCTTTTCATTGTCGCCATCGTCGTCGGATCATCGTGGATGAAACCTTGTTACTGGTAGATACACGTCGCTTAGCGGATTTTTTTTCTTAGTGCTTGAAACGCGTTATATATATAGGAGCTGAGGTTTGGTATCGAGGCCTGGAGACCTCAACACACAGGAAAACATGTCAGCGTGAAAACAGATGGTAACACCCTGGAAATATACATGTTTTCTTGGTGCTGGAGGTCTGGGCATGATTGTGCTTGAGGTCTCCTGGTGCTGCGTTTTTCTCAAAGCACGATGACGAGTGAACAGAAGAACAAGCAATGCAAGCGGCAAAACAAGCTAACTCTGCAAACATGGAGAGATACCAGGTGGCACCCACTCCACTCCTCCGGGCTCACACTCGCCTACTGTTCCCTGTGCTTGGCATCGAGATGTGACTCCGTCTGCCGCTCCGATCCAAAAAGATTGACGTGACAATACAAGCCGCGTGCCACTCTGCACATCGCTGTGCGAAATCTTCATTTGTCATGTCCTTGAGCCAACTAGTTACAGTATAAACCATATAAACGGCTAAAGATGACACCGTGTGGGTTTGCTTGGTGGGGTCAATGCCTCCGGTCGCTCCCCGGTACGGTGCCATGAAGTGCTTGAGAAGAAAAAGATGCGCGCCGATATCTTGAGTGGCTCGAGGAAAAGCACTGTGATTGTTTTGAGCCTTGAACTCCAGGAGGTGTCCAAGCAAGGTAGATCTAGTAGCTTCTCTTGTTACTAGTAAGGTCAGGAGCCCGTAAGTAGCGTCCTTGCTCCGTTCGTAGCGTTCTTGTTCCTAAATATGTGTCAGTGCCTGTGCGCTCAGTGTCGCTGGACAGTGACCCTGCCCATGTGGCGAAGCTAGTCATCATCGCCGTGGGCAACGTTGTGTGAAGGATGATCATCAACCTTTTGTGTTCGGGACTGCGGACGGGTGACTGTGCCCACGTGCCAGTGAAGGTTCACCATGGCAACATCGTTTGTGCGAACATGGAGGTTAGTGTGCCCGGGTGTGTGCGCGGTTACGAGGAAGCCTCTGCCTGACGTGCTCCCACCGTCGCCCTTGCGCAAATGCCATGTTTGGCTCCCGTCTAGAGGACCCTTGCCGATGTAGATTCCTCTGGCGTAGTTGGGTTTTGGTGTTTGGTCCAATGTAGCCTCCCAACTCTGGTCTATAGTGACCACCATAGCAACCAACGCCATGGTTTTGGTGGAGCCTTCTGTTTGCGTTGGTTTGTTGGTCCAGACAGCGAGTAAAAAAGGACACTTTGAACTTGTTGAGTCGAGGTCTGCAGTTTGATGTTCGGATGGTCGGGGTCCCAGGAAAGGAGACGGCAAAACAAAAGTCCAGTACAGGCTTAGCAATTCGAAACTGTGCGCCCCGCAGGGTCACCATGCTGCCAATCCTGTTAATGCAGCCGCATGAAGAGAGGCCGGCGCCAATCACGTGCAACAATTTTGGTTGTGTTTAGTGGCAAGGCCGCGGCAGCAGCATCCAGCTGAGAAACTGAAAGTCCAAACAAAACATGAGAAAGCAGATGGAAACAAATTTGATGCATTGCGCAACATGTCTCGTGTCGTGAGGCTTTTTCGGCAGTTCTTGCTGAAGCGCCTTGCCGTTTGGTGAGTGTGCCGAGTGCATCATTGGACCGTGGAGAGGTGTGGTTTTCGTTTCGGCGAGAAGGCTAGTAGTAACAGGTGCCACGCTACTAGTAACAGGTGCCTTACTAGTAGTAACAAGAAGCTACCAGTAACAAGTGCATCGCTCCTAGTAACAAGTGCCTTACTAGTAGAAACAAGAAGCTATTAGTAACAGGTGCATCGCTAGTAGTAACAAGAAGCTACTAGACTGACCAACGATGAAAGCAGGTTCGGAGCTTCGACCGAAGTGACGGAGTTTTGGACAAAGCCCATCGAAAATGGAGGGCATCCTTTGGACAGTTCGAAGCCGTTGCGTGAAGTCTTGATTTTCTTACAAAGAGGGAACAAAATAGAATGGAACAACTAATTGTTGATCTCGGACAGAGCCGGTGGCCGCAAATTTATACACATATCAACTATAGGAAATAATGATGAATAACGATGATGACTTGTTGAGTGATGAAAAGTCATGATGACGTGTGATTTCGTTCGGTGATGAAGAGATGTCATGTTTCTGTGTCAAATTTAAGATGTGTGCTCTCCACATTGAAACGTGCACGAGTCGCACAAGAACAGCATTTAATTTTGGAAATAAGTTGCAGAGTCGCACTGAACGGCTGGAGTCGAGGTCACCCGAATGTCGGGCCTGACGCAAATCCAAGGCCTAGCTTTGTGATCTTGCCCCTGTGGCTGCTCCTGTGGCCAAACCCAAAGTTCGACAAAGGCAGTGTCTTGTTCAGTGTGCCTTCAGATAGGTTGATTGCGCAGTAATAGTGCAATTCCGTCAGGCGTTTTGCAGACAGTTGCGAATCTTCTGAGGTTTGTGGATTGCATCCAGTTGCTCTTCATGTGTCGCACTCGGCCGAAAGCAGTTGCGTCTCCCGTTTGAGCGAGCAGTGCGAGGTTTCAATTGATTCACCCGTTCTACTTCTTTCTGTCGCTTGGACCGTTCTACTTCTTTCTTCTGCCTGGATTTGAATGTCGCGCTTTTTGAGGATTTGCCATAGCGTCCTGCCAGCCATCATGACTTGGCATTTATTCACAATGCAGGCGAAGAAACGCACACAAGGACACGAACAGGTCGAAAGAGGCTCACAAAGAATAGCCAGAAAGCCATATAAGTGTGAGGTTGCAAGCCTTTTATCCACAGATGCAGTTCACGCACGACGTCGCTACCCCTAAGTGCTGTGGAAAAAGACACGCTGGTGACCATCCACAGCTGAAATTCAAGTGGCGACGCCACTTCGAGCTTCCTTCGCATCCTTCGGATGGCCCGAGAGATAATGTGTGGATTCAGGTCCTGCCAGACTGATGCAAACACGCTTTCCACCGAGGCTGCATCACAGATGTAATTAAACCCATGCAACACCGTGCGCGCCGACGCGCCGAATTAAGACCATGTTTTCCTTCCCGCAAACGCACTTTCCATGGCCGCGCAAAGCCGCTTGGGACGTCGCAGACGTAATTTGGCCACACAGTTTCGCAACAGACTAGATACAACGATGTAGCAGCAATGACCAAAAAGCGGTCACGTTGAGTCAATGTCAAGTCTGCGTTGTCCAAAACATACCCGGCCAAAACCTTTCTCCCGTGGCGAACCCTGGGTCTTCTTCGAGCATCAAATTTCGTTGGGGTTCCACCTGCAAAAAGGAGTCAAGACTTTCTTAGGGGGCACGATGGCATTGCAAGAACTCACGCTGCGCTCTTTCGCCGTTTTGGCCGGACAACTCTTGTACCAAGGGTCTTGAATTCCAACGCTAGGCTGTCGGACCGGCTTCCTGGTCAGAATGGATGCTCGGCCTTTGAGCACCGACAACGGGGCCCCATCACTTCGACACACACTTCGAACTTGGGTTTTCAGTTAACGCAATTGTCTCATTGGGAAGGAAGGCGATGGAACAGCAAGGTGGAAAGGTCAGCTTAAACTGTATTGTTGAACAATGTTGGCACTCGCAAGCTGCGGAAACGCGAACCGGCTGCAGAGCTGCTGGGGACGAATGTTTATGGGGTGGAAATCGTGAAGAACCATGAAACAAAAAGTGGAAAAGTGGAGTAACAGCTTGTGAAGGAACGAGCAGGTACACGGAAGTGATCAGCTTCCGCATCCTAGGATCTTGCAAGGAGCTTCGTTGGGCAGAGCCTTGCAAGTCCTCTCTGCCCCCCTGCTCATGTAGGGTAGAAAGAGTGGTGGTGGAAAACCTTTTGTCCAGGGTTGGACACACACAGGGCGCCGCGTTCGGCGCTTTTTCAAAAACCGGTGGCAGGCGTGGTAGTTATGCCCCTTTTGGACATATAGATTCACAAGTTCAGCCGCGGCAGCGTCAGCGCTGGAGGGTGGAAATGTGTATTTTCGAATGGTGTGAAGTCGTGATTGGAGGCCTGATAGAGCCAAGCGCTGGCTCCCGGCAGTGGTGGAATCCCGGATTTTCCAGGGTTGAGAAGGTTGCATGTAGGTGATGGTGCGTTGTGGGAGGTCGATGTTGAAACCGAGGAGATGGAAATCCTCCACCGGTTCTAGTTCCACAGGGTCGCCAAAGAAATTGTGGTGGATAAGGGTTTGGATAGCCGGGTGTTGAAGGAAATGTTCGTTGTGGACAATGAAGCGGTTGTCGACATAGCGATAGTAAGTAAAATGGAGGTCTGTGTGTTGAAGGAGGTTGTTGTGGATCTGATGCCAGGAGTGCTCAATGAGAGTGATGGCAACGTTGCATAGGGCTGGAGAGAGCTGGGATCCAATCCCGGCTCCTCGGATTTGTTTGTAAGTGTTGTTGCAAGCCCGGAAAATGCATGTGTTGAGGGCGAAAGCCACGATGGTGGTGATGTCGGAAGTCTGGATGGTGCGTTGAGTAGGGTGTTTCCGATGGTGTCTGCCAATGTGTGAGTGGTGGAAAGGATTGCCGGTGGCCTGGACATCCACCGTTAGGGTGTGTGTGGATTGCTGTTGTTGCCAGTGGTGGACGAGGGAGTGGACTGCATCGATGAGTCGGTGCTGGGGGACGGAGTTGAAAAAGCCGACCAGGTCATCGTTGGTGGCGTGTAGTGAGATGTCTGGTGGGGTTTGGGTGAGGTAACTGTGAAAGTGGTGCCAAAGCTGGGGAATGGACATTTGGCCTGGATGTTGAGGGTAGAGGTGTTGGAGGATAATGTCAAGGGCACGGCTGGTGATGCGTAGCAGGTTGCCACTTAGTGATTGGAAGTATGATATGATTGTACGGCCTTTTTGCCAGTGCTTCTTCTCTTTGAGGTGGACAACCCCGTAGGGGATGTTGAAGTCTTTTCGGAAGCCCCACTTGTAGCGGGTGCGCAGGATGGAGGGGACTGTGGCGGTCAGGTGGTCGTGGATGTTGGCGGCAGTGATGTAGGGAAGTGGTTCGAAAAGTTCGGGGGATTGCCAGGTGTTCAAGGCTCCAGTGAAGTATTGTCGAGGGCAAAACAGCCGAAGTTGTTGGAGCTCATGATCGGCATGGTGGAGTAATGTGTGTTTGCCCAAATGTTCTTGCAGTTGACGAAGCAGGCGGGCCGTAAAACGGGGTTGCTGCTTGAGGTGTGTGTTATGAAGGCGCCATTGGTGCTCAAGGAAGGGTTGTAGATGCTGAACAAGGGATGGTGGAAGCCCTTGTAGTTTGAGCCATTTGGTGTAGGCCGTCTTGAAAATGAGGAAGTAGCGAGCTTTGCTTGGGTAATAGGTGCTGTTCATATTGGCGTTGAGAAAAATGCCGAGGTGTGTAGGGAGTTGGAGTTGGTCAAGTGTAAGGATGTAGTGGCCGTTGATGGTAGGGGTATCGGGATCCTGCAAGAGGGTGCGCAGGTGATCGCATGCGCAGGGAAGGTCTGCTGGATCTGGTGGGGAGTGGAGGGTGTCTTCCCATGTGCGGTGGTTGTGCAGGTGAGAGCGGAGGGTTTTGTGGGCGGCTTCTCGCAGTCTGTGGGAGGGGAGGTGGAGGGGAATGGTGAAATGCTTGTGCTGCTGGATGGTAGTACGAAGCCACTGTTGGCAGTGCTTGGTAAAGTCGTCATGGGCCAAGAAGGGCACTGTCAGTGGGATGTTTGGTTTTGGTGGCGTGAGGTTGCGGTAGATCAAGGCTTTGTTGAGGATGTGGAGGGCTCGGCTGCGGCCGGGTTCTTCCAGGTTTGCGGCCATGCGCCGGATTGCATAGACTTCGAGGTCCGTGTGGCGTCCGCTTCGTAGCTCTTTAGCTGCTTCAAAGGAGGCTGCGGTGTGTTTGGTAAGGTTGCGAAGAAGTTGGAGGGCGTGATGCTTAGTGGAGGTGTAGAGGTGTGGTTCTCTGAGGGTGTACTGGCGTTGTCGAAGGCGTCGGAAAAGTCGTTTGTGGGTGGCTAATCTGGAGTAGAAGTGGGCTCTGTGTTTCGCGAACTGCCATCCCTGAGCTTTGAGTTTGAGGTGGTGGGAAATGAAAGGCCAGTTGAGCGGAGGCATCCAGTTTGCGATGTAATGGTGCTCTTGGATCCAGGCTTGGTCGTATGTGTCATGGGAGGTAAGTTGAATAGTGGTGTAGTGGTGGATGTTGTTATGTGAATGCCAATAACGTAGGGAGAGTTCTGCAGAAATGGGAATGTTATTTTGGAGTTGTTTGAGTTTGGCGCGGCGATTATGCTCGCGGTGGGGGATGCCAATAGCTGTGGAGCCAACATAGAAGTGGCCATGCTGATGGTAGCAGCGTTGGGGCTGGTCGGGATTGAAGTGGGGCTTGATGTAGACGGAATTGGAGGAGAGGAAGTTGTGGTAGTGGTAGGTGTGGGGCAAAATGTGGAGCTGGCGGAGGCGATTGCGCCATTGTTGTGAGCGACGGGTGTTGGAAGGGTATGCGAAAAGGAGGGTGATATGGAGAAGGCCGGTTGCAAAGATGGCTTCGGCACGGTCGATGTATTGGGTGCGGTGGATGAGGATAGAAAGTGCTCTGTGCAGGTGGAAGAGTTGGGTGAGGTTGGTGTGGCTGGGTTGCTGCTGGGCCAGAATGGCGAGTCAGCAACCGATGGCTGCTCCAACTCCCACCAGCTGTTGTAGGCTGCGAATGGGGAGTCGGTTGACCCGGTTGAGGGGTAGGCCATACTTGGTGGCTGCTTCTTTTAGCTGCTGCGTGGTGACTTTGCTTGTTTGCAGCAGACGGATGACGTCCTTCGCAGCTTCTTGGATGGTGGGGTCGAAAGTAGTGACCCATTGTTGGATCTCTGGGTGGTTCCAGCCTTCGGGGATATCGTCTTGCAGCGTGGGGTGTGGTGGTTGCAAGACGTCGGTGAGGGCTGGTGGTTTCGGTGGTGGTGGAGTGGGTGCGTGAGATGGGGCGGCTGGTGCGGAAGATCGGCTGGTGTTCTTGACTGGTGTGAGTGGGTTGCCCAGGTCTTGGAGTTTCTGACGTGCACGAGCCAGTTCGTCGTTGGTGTTTTTGAGGGCGCGTAGAGCGGAGCCTTCCGCAGGTGCTGGAGAGTGGGTTTGCAGTTGGTCAATAAGCAGTTTGATGAGGGGAGCGTGAAACGCTCGGGCATGGGTGGTTTTGTTGGGAATGTCTGTGCTCTGTTGGGTGTGGAGGGCCTCCGCGATGCCGTCAAGGTCAAGGCGGTTCTCACGGAGTTGTTGGAGAAAATGGGTCACGAAAACTGACTCCGCTATGCTTCTGGTGGCAATAAAACCTGTGAATTTGCCGTTGCTCAGGGTACGGGCGGTGAACTCGGAGGTACCGTGGTAAGCCAATTGCCACGGGAAAACCTCAAAGGTGGGGAGTCCTGCCACACCTGCTTTTCGAGACCACTGGGTGGGTTGGATTGTACGATGTAGTTGGTGGCCGTGCAGGGTGTTGGAGTCCCAATGTTGCTCGGTTGGGTTCCAGGAGTCGGGAACAGGTGGTGTGGGGGATGGGATGTGTGGGGGTGGTGGGGCAGGCGCTGTGTTGCCACGTGTGGTGGGTGGTGGCGGTGGGCTGTGTTGGAAAGTCGATGGTGGTGGAGTGACGGGTTCGGCCGTTGGCAGGGGTGGCGGTGGCGGAGGTGGAAACTCCGGCTGTGAGGTGGATGCCTGGGGTGGGGGTGTATGC